GGACTGCTGAAGTATTTTTTCTTAGTTGCAGAAGATCTTGTGAGAATTTTATTTCTGAGCTTAATGAAAAAAGTTCATATATGTATTTGGTCCTAAGATGATGGATGTATGAAGAAAGGGAATAAATGACTTCTGAACGCATTTTCCTGAAAAGGAGTCAATTTTCAACATGGTCTTCTCTATCTTAAGAAAAAAGAGACAGTCTCTGCTTGTAAGACTTGTCTTATTTGTAACCCCAGTTGTCAAAAATCTACATGTCACAGGGAATACGAAACAGAGGCTTTTACAGCAGATTCAGCCTCATCCTGCACTCTCCTTTCCAGCCCCTGCCTGCCCTGCCCCCATGTGTCGTGGTAGGCGTTCAGCTGCCGCATGGATTTGTCATATGGCCAGCCCCCCAGATTTATCTTTCTCATACGGCCAAATAACTTCCTCCCCGTGGCAATTTGCTTGAATAAAGGGTCTGGCAAATGAAGTTGAGCCTGGGGATATAGTATGAAAATCAGCGGTTGCTTCAGTGCACAATTGCTCAGTGAAACAGTTATCAGCTAGATGAAGGGGTGCCCAGGCTTTCCTAACCGGATGAAAACCTTCATCTCTGGAATTCCCTCTGCAACACAAAGATTTCACAATGCAGAGCATCTCTGGTCACAAACATATGCAGTGCTTAGAATCGGTATTAGTTTTTACTGGAGGATGTGGTTTTTCTCTGCCTGCTGATTCAAGCCACTAACCTTTGTAGAACTGACACGCATAGAAATGAGATTAAGAAGCTTTTGTTGATTCCATCAAGCCGGTGTTCTGACTTGTGCAAGGTCTCTAGCCCTGGCTGCACGTTGCTGATGCACAGCTTTTATTTAGCTTTGCGTGGAACAAAGCTGTATTTCTGTCAGGAGCATTTTGTATGAGGAATCTCACCTAATGCACGTACCAGGCTGTGTCTTTTTGTGGGCTGCATCATAAGCACTGCTCTGTGTCTTCTGGTAGGTATTAGGTGTACTTCATATGGAGAAATAATACTTGCCTTCTGATGTGAAATGTCTGCAGATGAGCCCGTACGAATGGATACCGATTTTTCCCATGAAAGCTCAGAATACTGCAGCACTGCTTAGTGCAGAGTTTCAGAGAGGAAAATAAGCCACATGCTAAAATCTTCCCAAATTGGAATTTCCACACAGTTTTAATGGTTTTGATCTCTAAATTTGTTATATTTCATAAAATTTTTTTCCAGCTGCACCTGGCTATAGAGAGTTATTTAGGTGTTCATAGAAAAGTCTTTTTCCATCATTTTAAGGATGAGACTGGGGCTGCGAGTGGGTGCAGTTCAGCTGTTGGTTGGTGTCCTTCACTGTGCTGTCTTTGTGCTTTGCCGTGGCTGCTGGGCATGGCAGGAGCGATCATCCTGTCCTTCAGAGCTGTGGTCCACGCTGCCAGTCTTGTTATTTCTGTGACCTCTTTTGGCAGGTACATATGGGAGCTGCGAAATTTCCTCATTAAAAAGCTGCATGTGTCATAATCGTGATGTGACTAGAACAAAGCTAGTTGCCTCCTTTGGGACTACTTGATGTGTTTCTGAGACTTTCTTTTTTAATTTTGAAGGTCATTTCTTTGTTTTCAGTGTCTTCAGCTTAGATGGTGTCCTGTGACTCCATCGTAGAGAAGGATATTATGAAAATAGAGTGGTATTTTGTAGCCATGGGAGACCTCTTGACTTCCTCCAAAGGCAGTGGTAGTTCGGTATTCCGACTGGCTGATCTGTCAGATTCGTTGTGCCCTGTGGCCCTGTGATGCTTTACAAATTCCAGAGATGCCTTTTACAGAAATCACTAGTGCAGTGCTGTCCATGCAGAAGCATACCGAAACAGCTGCCCTTGCACTGCTGTGTGCTGTGTTTAGTGTTGGTGTGGCCTCACGTTGGGTATTGTGTGCAGGTCTGGGCTCCACAATCAAAAGAGGATGTTGGAAGCACACAGAGGAAGGCAACAAAGCTGGCAGAAAGGCTGGGAGGGCATGTTCTGTGAGGAGAGGTTGAGGATGCTGGGTTCATCTGGCCTGGAAAAGAGAAGGCCAAGAGGCGACCTCGCTGCTCCCCGCAGCTCCCTGAAGGGAGGCACAGAGGGAGATGCTGGCCTCTGCTCCCTTCGACCCGGGATCCAGGGGAGGCCCGGACTGAGCATGAGGAAAAAATTCTTTACCATAAGGGTGATCAAGCATTGGCACAGGCTTCCTAACAAGGTGGGTGCTGCCCTGGGGCTGTCAGTGTTCAGGAGGCATTTGGGCACTGCCCTCAGTGATGTGCTTTTGCTTAGCCCTGGGGCAGTCAGCCAGCTGGGCCTGACGGTCTCCATAGGTCCCTTCCAGCTGAACTTCTTCATTCTAGGGCATGGCTTTAAACACTTGGGTTTGGGGGATTTTCAGATTTAAACTGTCTATCATGAAATATCTAAATCTAAACAAATGTACTCGAATGAGTTCATGGGGGTATACAAGGAACAGATGAGACTGATGCATATTCCAGACAATGAGTGTAGTCAGCGTTTAAGGGCAGAGAAATAAGCCACTTAAATCTACTCAAGTTTACTGTATGCTGCTTGACTGCAGTACTGCTCTTCCAGCAAGACAGACCTTGTTGAAATGGTACAGTGTGTTAAGATTTGAACTTCATGCTGGAAATAAAAATAAATTATCACACTGAGCTCCAAGCACAGTGTTTTTGGAGAAGGCAAGGAACAGGTATGTTTGGTAAATATGGTACATTTCTCAAAGCTGCTCCCTTAAAATAAATGAATAAAAATTCAGTGACCCTGAAGTGACTCTCACGAGCAAATTTCATATCATTGCTCATGTGTGATCCACATGCATTTTAATGCTAAGTCTATGGATTTTTTTTTCAATTTTCTACTTAAGCCTTCTATTTCACCTTGTCTGTAACTTCTTTATGCCTCTGAGGACTGTGTTTGAAGATGCAGTGAGATTTGAAAGGCATCCTATTGACGAGGGGAATAATGAGGTCATTCTTAAATGTGTTCATGGTATTTTGTAATTAGCTGGGTAAACTTTCAGTATTAAAGGAAACAGGAAATGGTAATTATACAGAACTTTCACTCTATGCTCACATCTGCTGCATTCCCATTGTTACTTAAAGCTTTAAAGCGTCCCTCTGGAGGGCTGTGTATTAAATAATTCATTTTATTTAACTTTTCTTTATGAAGCATATACCATTAATTGATAACAGAGCAATAATGATGTGGTTAATTGAAACTGAGATCCTGAGAGCTGAGGCTAGTTTCTTTTCCAAGTCTTATATTTGGTTTTGATTATTCTTTTCAAGTTCACTAATGGTATATGTTTATCGGCTGCTTGATCTTGGAAGGCAAAATTGAATTATTTTTTTAACAAAGATAATGAAAGCCTGTCCATATGTGCTCTCGTCATAATGTGCAATTAAACAGTCAGAAATGTGACATTATTAATTGTTGCATGCTTGGTACTGCTGAGCTGTTCTTTATGGGGTAGATTTAAAAAATGAGAATGTAGGAAAATAAAACAGTACCATTCTTGTGTCTTTTATTAAACTTGAAATGTGTTTAAACATGCTTACATACTGCACATAGCTGAACTGTTGAGTGATCTTGACTTGAAGCTTACTCTGATGGGCTGGGGGAAAGGTGGGTCTAAGCCTGTGCCTTCCTCTAAGGCTAGTCATTTCTGTGTGACTGCTTGGAAGATCAGGGTTAGGCTCTATGTGCTGACGTGGTTGCTTGAAGAACCAATTTGTAGAAAAAGTAAGAGCTGTTCAGTCACCCAGCAAGTGTGTAAATGCATTTATTGTGACAGTATTGCAGGTTTTAAAGCAAGCATAGTTGGGAAATTGGGTTCAAATCTGAAAATAGACCAGATTAAAAAAAAAAAATGGGGGTGAGGAAATAATTTTTATGTTAGCAGATATGTTTTGTCTTAGTTGTAAGTGGAGATGTGCGATGGCTGGGCAGTGTTCAGTGTGGAGGCTTTAGGACCTTTGTGGCATGGTTGGTGAGATGAGAGCCTTCTTGGTTCCCGGAGGGGGATCTGAATGCAAACGAGATACAGAAGCAGGCCACGCTGTGCTAATCCTGGTTTAGGCTCAGTCACACCAAAACCCCTAAACGTGATTTGTCATTGCCCAAAGTCTGTCAGGAGAAGCAGCAGGATGCCTGAAACATGCTTAACCCCAAAGGAAAGTAATCCCAGTTTTGCCCTTGGGTCATGCTTGAAGGCCCCATTAGGACAGTGCAGAGGGAAGGCAGCAGTGCAGCTGCCTGCTCAGTGCCAGTTTGTCTTCTCAAGCACTCGGTGTTCTGCATTTCAGTAACAGGCCCAGGAACAAAATGGGGGTGGCTCTGCTCTTACCTAGATCTCCAAAATTGATCTTTAATTCATCCTGCCAGTTAGGGCACATCATTCTCTGTTAGTTTAGCACATCTCTACACAGGTACCACCATTGTAGTTTTTTGTCTAACATGTGTCTGGTATTTTCCCCTAACTGTGATTTGTGACTATAGAAGTACCATTTTCATAACATTACGTGTGTGCTGTAAGAACTGGGCTTCTCTTGAGGAAAATCTAAGACCTACAGCAAAGTATTGTGGTTCTAATACATGCATTATACATCTTTTTGTGTCTAACTGTGACGTAGTTGCTCTTCATAGAGATGCATTTCGCATCATTACATAAAACAGACAACTATCTTCTACCTGCATATATCAAAACAAAGTACATCTACCATGAGAATTAGCGTTTGCAATGTTTTGGCTTTTTTTCCCCACTAGCCTTATTCTTAAAATACGCAACTTAACTTTCTTCAATGATTTCTGTTAGCGCATAGGAATTGAATTTATATTCCCAGCAGTTCATGTATTTGTGAAAGATCTTAGATGCACTCTTTCCACAAGTGAAGCCTTTTTCTATTTTGTGTTTTGTTTTACTTTTCCGCTTCTGTAACGACTTACTCTGTGTAACAGGTGGGAGATTCAAGAAAGAGATAGTAGTTGATGGACAAAGCTATCTGCTGCTGATTAGAGATGAAGGGGGCCCTCCAGAGGCACAGGTGAGCATTGCATTTTGAGCTTTATCGGGCTAAAAATCAGTTTCCACTTATTTTTCGTAAATGTACCTCAACCTTTCTTTATGAGAACTTGCTATGCATTGTTATTTCCTGTGTGTGCTTATCTTTCAGCTGGTAAAATGCTCTCAGGTAAAGAAGAAAATATTGTGTATGTTGAGTATAATATGAAATTATATTTAAAGGTATAGGCTACCTTCCATTGAATGCCTAATCATTATGATTCCAGTGACCACAAAATTGCATGTTATATTCTTATGATTTCTTTTGAGCTAGAATCTCTAAATTCTAAAAATACAGATCAGGTAGATGTGTGCACAGTGACAGTCATACTTGTGTATGAATCTGTGTTCCTTATTGCTTCCATGCCTTCCTCCCTGTGCCATTGTAAGCCTCAACCTTCCAACTTGCAGCTCACTGTTGAGGTTCTAGGGTTTGCCATGTGGTTTCTGTGTACTGCCACCTCCTAATCCTATAGCAGTCTCATCAGAAGAATATTGGGTTTGTGTACCTAACACTCCTAAGCTATTTAAGTGAGGTGAAACATTTGCTTATTGCTTAAACCTGTGAAGGTTGTGCCAGCCTGGCTGCAGGGCAGTGTCCTTGTCTCCAGGCACCCTCTTGGTTTTCCCTCTACCTGTTCTTAGGTGGGCACTAGCGAGGTTTCTCAGGCACTGGCCTGTTCGGTAGCGGATTAGCAGCAGGAGCTGTGCTGTTGCCAAACAGCTGAGTGGGAGCGATGCCAGCGGCGGCAGCTTGGGTTTCAGTGCTCCACTGTTGCTCGTTAGCTGCAGGAGGATGAGAGCATGGGGGAAGGTGGCTGGGCAAAGGAGAAGATAAAGGAGGTAGGGGAAACGGAGACCAAAAGGGATATCCTGGAAGGAAGTCTGGTTCACACATCTGCAGCCATGTGAAGCATGAGCCTAAATGAAGTTCTCTGTTTTGGTCTGTGAATGACTTGGCTGAAGTACACAACGGTTCTCAGGCCTCACAGCTTAGACAGCATTCACTCATATAAAAAAAATAAAATGGTAATACTGCAATTATAAAGGTACACACAGCCATCTAAATATTTGTGTACCTGAAGAATTGGTTTTGCAGAGCTCATTTGAACTAACTGCAAACTAATGATCAGGCACTGTTTTGCTTTTGATCCATGCTAGGTAAATTGGGGGTGTTTAATTACTGCTGTGGCTGAGATTGTTCTTCAGAGAAAGAATGAAAGGCCTAAGGTGTTAGTGCTGTTTTGCTTCTCAGAAGACACATTTCACTTGTAAATTCTCTTTGTTGTGTTGTAGGCATAATTTCAAGTTGCATGTATAGTAAATATCTTTAATCTGCTTATTAATTCCCGCAATAAAAAGTTTATTTCTGGGTTAATGAATATTTATAACAAAAATCTAAAGAAAAATGTTCACCTCAATATTCATTTATAATACAGAAAGGGCTGGTTATGTCAGCCTTGTGGCTCTGCTTTTTGCAAAAGTATGCTATATTTTTGTGGATAATTGGGGTAGAACCTCGACCTCCATGAGAAAGAGCTGAACTACTGTCAGCAGAGCAGAAACAAAACTGCAGGAGCTGGTAGGACTGAAGTAAGTGCTTACAAACCTAGGCTAGTTAGGTAAAACTGCAAAATGTACCAAAATATTTCTCAAACCAACCTGCTTGCAGCTCTGTATGTTCATGTCCCTAACCTACCTGGCATGTTGTAATAGTAATATAATAACAAGCATGAGTACTGGTGGCTGAAACTTGTTTCCATTGGTCTAAATTTGGGTAGGAATGGAATCACTTAGGGAAAAATAAAGGCAGCGAGGTAAGCTTAACTTTTTTTCTGATGTGCTGTATACATTTACTGTTATGTTAAATGTGCTTAAACTATGTTGTTTCACTTGTAAGCACTCTTCTTCACTTGCATGGTCACTAGAACAGCACCCTGCCTTGGCCTGTGCACTCTCATGTCTTTTAGTGGATTACTGATGCCAAGAGAGAAGAGTTTGCTTTCACACTGGAAGCTGAATGAGACATTCAGTACTGTTTGTCCAACCAGTGTTCTAATTATAAACTCACAGACAATTTGAAATTAACGTTTTTGGACTTTGAGTGAGATGTGAGAATTATTTTCAATGCTTGGAAAACCACAGCCATATTTGTCCTGGCATTGACAGAAACACCAGCATGCAAGCACATAAAGCACAGGGTGGGGAAAATAATGCACTAAATGAGGCATCCGAATACTAGGGGTAGGTATTTTTCATTTATAAATCACAAATACAGAGATCTGAGGCTGTGGCATCCTTTTTCTATGAATCAAAATCAGTGTGCACTGATAGTAGTTGGGCTTACAATATCATATACCAGTGAAGGAGAGAGACAGTTTTGAGTGTGAGGGAAAAACCTTTGCTTATTCCAGATACTACATTGCACAGTGATAAATGTTGATTCATCATTTTATAAATAATACACCACTTTTTTTTAAGACCTGGTTATTGTCACTAACAAACCTTTTCTGATGTATGTTACCTATTTCCCTGTATGTCAGATAAGAGTATTTTTCTTTTTTCTTCTTTATTGCTTTGCGCTCAGTCTGCCTTTTCCATTTTTATTCCACAGTTTGCCATGTGGGTGGATGCTGTTATATTTGTCTTCAGTTTGGAAGATGAAGTCAGCTTCCAGACCGTTTACCACTACTACAGCCGTATGGCTAACTATCGCAACACTAGTGAAATTCCAATGGTACTAGTGGGAACTCAGGGTAAGTGCAATATTAACCACAACATTTCCTCAGAGTGTTCTTTTGTGGCCGTACAGACTGTTCCAAGCTGGCAATGCCATGTCCTGCCCTTCCCTATCAGCAAGGTGATTTCCTAGGTTTCCTCAGCTGGCTTGGCACAGGGTCTTGGCATTGCAAGGACTGGTTTAAAACGGGAGACAAATGTCCACACAGAGCTCTAGGGATGCTGAAACCGTGTAGGGCATTAGCAATGGTGATTTAGAATGGGTTTCTGTCATGATTTAAAATGGTTGTACTGTGGTACTCAGCCAAAAATTATGAAATATGTGACAGTGCACAAAAGCCATTTAAAATATGCATAATTTGATCTGGCTTCTTCCATGGCCATCTGAGAATTAGATTTCCAAGGCACTCTAGTGTCTTCCAGAAGCTAGTAAATAACTGTTTCTCTCTCATTAGATTTAAAAGTAAATATATATTCAGTGTTTGCCTGTCATGCTCACTTTCTTGGCCATCAGACAGATGCTAACACTGAATTTGGACAGGTGAATCAATTGTGTAAATTGTGAAGATCAACCAGTTTGCACAACATTAGCAGTCTGAAAGTGGTCAGTGCTGTAGCATTCCTAGGAGGCAGATAGATCAGAGATTGAAAACCTTCCACAAAATGGGAATGCAGCCTTTTGTCACCTGAGACAAAACACCCCAAATTGCTTTTTTTTCCAAAACACACTCTGAAGCAGCAGCTGGCTTAAACTATTAGAAGAAGAAATCTAGTTTTGGAAAGCTCCTGGTAATATTTCAGTTTATTTTGTGTCTAGCTAGGGAAAGTTCCTGGTACCATTTGTTTCTTTTGCGTCTGAGCTGTCTGGTTGATTCTCTGGTTGGTTCTCTGCCTTGCTTGACCGCAGTATCAGCTTTATGGTGCAGTAGTGTTCTGCACTGCGGTTGTTTTGCTGTGTGTTTGGGCTGGAACAGAGGCAGAAGAGTTGAGGCTTCCCTGTGCCTAGTCATGTAGGTGTCCTGGAATAACTCCTAACAAATAGGACTTGCTGCAGAGATGCTTTACTTTAGAGACCTGCTGTTTTGGAAGTATGGTTTAAGACACGTTTGTGTTCCTTTACATTGAAGTGCTGGTTGCTGCATATTGCTGAGTTCCTGTGTGAAATTAGAGGGAAAGCACAAGTGTCACGAGCTACTCTTGTGGCTTTGGGCGGTGAGGCCATGTCCCAGGCTGCCCAGAGAAGCTGTGGGTGCCCCATCCCTGGAGGTGCTCAAGGCCAGGTTAGATGAGGCGTTGGCCAACCAGACCTGGTGTGTGGAACGAGATGGGCTTTAAGGGCCCTTCCAACCCAAGCCTTTCTAGGAATTGGCTGTGGGCATCTCCGTGTGTGCCACAGATTTTAGTGCTGCTGCTGCTTTTGATTGCTCTCTTTGCTTGTGGTTGTTGTCAGTCCTGTGGTCAGAGGGATTTGCCTCCAGCCCGCAGAGCTGCGACACCGGCCCTGTGCCACAGGAAGCAGGGGGAAGTGTGGGGAGCACAGGAGGAAGAACAGCGACGGGGCTTCAGGGCGGAAACAGATGATAGAAACATGAAAAGGGAAGTAGGTACAACAAAAGTCTTAGGAGAGCAGAAATTAGAGCCAAAAGCAGAAACGAACTGCTCTGCAGGGCCACACAGTCCACTTGAAACCCCAGAAAAATGGGAGGGGGAAACGCTTCACTGAGGCGGTTTTATGCATTTTTGTCACTGGACTGTGCTCTCATCTCCTTCCAGTTAGTACCAGAAAGGAATTTGTTTTGTAAAGCTCATTTTCTGTTGCAACATTGATGCAAAGGGAATTGTTAATATGTGACTAAGGACAGAAATATTACTAGTTTTTGGAATAAGCATCAGCAGAAAAAAAAAAAGGCGCCTTTTGGCTACAGCGGCTGTCAAACTGTGCCGTTTTATTACAAAATTTACCTGTTTGACACTCAGCTTGATAGATACAGCAGTATTCTTGAAACAATCTGAGAAATTAAAGCTTTTCTCAGACATCAGCACCTGCTCCGTGCTTACAGAGGTGTGCGTGCTGTCATCTCCCCTGGGAAGTGAGGGGGAGTAGAGGTGCTCTGCCCTGCAGGCGCATTCCTACCTGCAGCGCTGCCTTTGCTTTTTATAAGTTGAACTTTTTGAAGCCATGGCGGTATTTATCAGTTCAATTCTGGTTACATGTTGTCAGCGCCCTCTGCTGCTTAAAAAAAAAGAGAAGTCTGCGGTTAGCTTTCTAAATCAACTGCTCTGCTTTTATTAATAAATCAGATCCTGTGCATGGAGCAGTAACACCGGTGGTCTTATCACACTCAGATCTGAGCCTCAGCTATAGCATTGCAGCAGTCACTGACTTCACGATGAACTGAGGCTGTTTTGTCCTGAAAATGGTTGCCACTGTGGAAAACACCAGATTGTAGAAAAACATTCTAAATGCTGAAATCAGTGCCTGTTGTGGTGGCCAGGTGGTAGCTGCAGAGCTTTGTAGATTGGGCTGTACTTCTGTTGCTCCTTGCAGCTTTTTTTTTGCCAGTGCTAATTAACTACTATGATATTCCTGAGAGGGGAAAAAAAAGTTGCTTTTGAAGATTTGATCATAGTGCTATCACTCTGTAAATAGTCAAGTATAACCCTTATAGAGTTCTTGGCTATGATGGAGGGTAGTAGTAAAGAGATTTCTCCTTAGCATGTTTTATTTTTCCTGGTATATTTTTTTTTCAGCTCCTATGGATAAACAAACTAGAAACTGCGGTTGCAAAGCACATCTAAAACATAGCTCTTGCAGAGAGGTTGAAAGTATTGTCATTTAGCTCTGAAAAATGAATTACTGTTTTATTACTAGCTTTGCAGTATGTGCACACTGTTTCATCAATATGTTTAAATCAAGGTTTGAGACTCATTCAAAGCCATTTAGGAAGAGTTTACTGGATCCAGTCTTGGTTGTGACTTGAAAGTCAGGTCAGCAGCAGAATGTGAATATATGGACAACCCCAGTTTTATGTTAACCTGGGTAGTGGCTGCTTAGGCAGAGGTGTGTGTGGTGGACATGTGCAGGGGTGGCTGTAGGTAAGAGGAGTCCTGTGCTCCCAGCTCAGCCTTGCTGGCTGCTGGCTCGCAATGGCTAAGTAAAGTGCAGAGAGAAATAACCTTGCTCACTGGGAAGGAATCGACCCAAAAAAAAAAAAGCATAGTTACACTGAGTTATGCTGAGGAGCTCAGACAAGAATGGGATTTCAGATTTTTAGCAAAGCTTTATCAGCAATTCCATACAGTGGTGTTATTTCTTATCAGCAATCTTGAATTTTATTTCTCCAGCTGTCTTAGTGTTTTTTGTTGTGTTTTTGTTCTTTAGAAAATGGTATCTTGTGCAAATCTCTTTCTGGGTGTCACAGTAATGCATGGTACTATTTATTCACTGCATTTCATTGTTTCGTTACTGCAAGTGTTCTGTTCTTAAAAACATGTTTCATGCTTCATGCTACAGGTGAATGTTACCTGTGAGCCACTGCTGATATTTATAGGAGGCTTAAAAATCATTTGACATGTTTATAATGATCAGCCACTTGTTTTTTCTACCTATGCTTTACTTCAGCGCTAATGTTCTCTTTTTGTAAGATTATGGATTTTATTTGAGCTGGTGATCCAAATATATTTTACGGGAACTTAAAACCACTTTTTTTTTTTTCCTAGCTTTTCAGAATGAATCAGTATGTGGTTGATTTTAAATATTTTAAGTAGATTTTTTTTTTTAAGTATAAAATTTGGAGTTATATCCTCTTTTTTTTCTAAAAATTGTAGAAGTCACATGGTTTGTATTTAAATTCATTGTTTGGGTATTGGTAATTCTAAGATGATGTTTTCAAATTGTTTAAATCTGTATGTATATATATTTTACCCCTGTTGCTGTAGATGCTATAAGTTCCAGTAACCCACGTGTCATAGATGATGCCAGAGCAAGGAAGTTATCAAACGATCTCAAGAGATGCACTTACTATGAAACCTGTGCTACGTACGGCCTCAACGTGGAGAGAGTCTTTCAAGATGGTAAAGATTACTTTTTCTTTGTCCAGCATATCACATAGTACTGTACTTGTTTTTTAAATAGCCACTGATGTCTGACAGGTCTGGTGTGTTCCCATTTTGCAAGTATTTGTTAATGATTAGGTAAAGAAAATACTTGTTTCAAGGGATTTATTCATTTTTTATAATACCTTAAGATAATTAGAGGCCTTATTATGCTTAACATGGCACGTGCACACTGTTGTGCTGCCTGCTACCCACCACCTTTAGTTTTTGGCATCTTAAGCTACTTTTAGTCTTTATTTTTCTATTTTCCTTTGTGCTTGCTTTACATTAATAAAGTTTGTTTTGATTTAGTGATTGTGGAGATGCTGAGAGAGTGTTTGTGCCAAGTAGTTTAAAATTGTCTTCCGCATTTGAGAAATCAGGAATAAACTGAGACAATTGGTAGGAATGGAATAGTCATGAGAAGTCACTTGTGGCATTCATGGAGTGTTTAAAGCTGGCAGTTTTGTAGGTGTTTAGAAGTAAAGTTGGCTGCTGATGGATGATTTAAAACATGAGTAACAGCAATGTTCTAGTTTGCCTTGTAAGAGGTATTAGTGATCATAGTGTACCATCTTAAAAAGAAATAACAGAAGCCTTGTTTTGACTATTTGTAACTATTTTGGAGTGTTAACCTCTTGGAAGAACTTGTGGCTGGAGAAGCTGCACTGAACTTAATCCTTGGTACATGAAATGGACTTTGTGCACCCTCTAGTGGAAATTCAGCCACGTGTCTTGGGATTTTGTTGCCTTCTGTTCTAGTGATGGGTGTGTAGTATCTGAATGTGACAGTTCTGCATTTAGAAACCTTAATTACACTGAACTACTGTTCAAAAGTCTTTACTTCTGTGGAGTTTTGTTTTGTTGTTGTCTGCTTTTTATTGCAAAGACCTGCACTGTTAGTGGTTGTGAGATGGTGTCACATCAGTGCAAAGATCTGTGTATCTGCAAAGGTGGCTTTTTAAAAAAAAAAAAAAAGCCAAGCATTCTAATTTTCAGATGGAAAACACTGACATATGCTGCGCTGTGCTTGATTCCAAAGGAGGGTATGTTCAACCAGCCTGTTGGAAGTATCTCAGAAAACTGTTTAAAGCTTTATCTTTGTAATTTTCTCAATGTTTTCTATTGAACTAGTTGCAGAAATTACTGTTTTCACTGCCTGCATTTTCTGTATTGAATGAGTTTCAAACAACCATTTAGGGTTTTTGTTAGCACGTTTATTTTTGAGTGCAAGCTATAGTTAGATTTATAATTATATATTCTAAGTGTTGGTGTACAGTCTATTTTTTCTCCCTTCAAGGAGCTTTTGAGAGAGAAATCTCTTCGCAAAAAGATAGTGTGATAAACTCATAAGCTTCCAGGAAGCTTATTTATCTCTACTAAATTTCAGGAGTAAGTAGAAAGAATTGACAAATGTGTTCGAGAAATTTCAAATTCTGTTTTACTTACATGGTGGTCAACCAACTACTTAATGTTTACCAACTAATGGAATTAGGAATGCTTCTGTACAAATGTGTTACAGTTGCCAGACACGTCTGGGACCAAATCCAATTCCTGATAATTTTTGCTGTTTTTTTCGGCAAGAAGCAAAGGAGCTTCTTAACCCCATTAAATGAGAGGGTGTGAATGGCAGTACAAGTTGTTAATTGGGAGGAATTGATTAAATGACTCTTGGTGTATGCAACTCTGGGTTGTTCAGGTTGAATGTAGGTTTAATTTTTTTAGAGTGATCGTATAATCTACAAAACTGCAGACCTTTTGGAAGGCAAGGGATAGAAAGGTGGAAATTTGGGGAAAGTTTTCAAGTTGTCTTTCCTTTAGAAAAAGGAAACCTGCCAGAATGTGAGATCCTTGTCCTGTACATCAGCTGTCTGACTTCCTGGGATATAGACTGTGTCATAGGGAGGGCTGTCAATGGGGCAACAACTACAGCTGGGGGTGACCCGTGGCTCTGTCACCTTTGCTTTAATGACCATTCACACCGTGAGAGCCTATGACTTAGAATAACTTTGCATTTTTATTCAGTATGAAATACAAGCTAGCATCATGATATATACGCTAGATTTACACACACACACTGATTTTATTTCAACTTCTTTGTATGTTGGTAGGCATTAAATATAAAATGTACAGAACAGCACGCACCTGATGTAATTCTGTGAAACTGCCCACAGTGATCTGTGAGTTGACTGTGCTAGCAAGCAGTTAGAAAATTTTTCAGTTCCTTGCGGTTCTGACTGCGTGCAGCCAGCCTGGTGCCTTGCTGGGGCTTATCATCTTATTCTCTCCGAAGCTGGTGTTCAACTGGAGCAGCTCTTCCTCCCCTTATCCTAAATTTGTCAGGCTGCCTCTTTAGCAGGGTAGCCAGACACCTGCCTGGTTTCTTGACTTTGACCCCATACCCATAGTTAACTTTTCTTTTTAAAGCCACCGCACTTCTTGATGTAGATATTAGCGATGAAGAAGGAGAAGAGATGAGGGAAGGATGGATAGCTCTTCACCCAGTAAGACAACGCTGTTGAGCATTTCTTATTATTTGAGGGAACCCTGAGTCAGTGCTCGCAGCCTTTATAAAATTACTGCATTTTTTCAGCAAACATGAAAGGGGTACAGACCAACTGTTACATTAAAAATAATGTAGGACAGGTTCTTGCTGTTTTCTTTTGCTGAGGAGAAAGTGGTGTGTTGACCACTTTTTTTCCCCACAAATATGACAGTATGCAAGACACAAAGCTACTATGCCTGTGTATTTCTGTGTATTGTATTTCTGTGTATTGGAATTGTTTCTAGACTTTGCTCCGAACCGGGTGGATATTCATTCTTGGAATTCAGGTTTAGGATTTAGCCGCTTGCCATGGTGTTCTAGGGTAGCTTTTGCTTGGTATTGAAATACTCCAGGGTGTCTGCTTTGGTAGTTCTGTAAGGGTGCCTCACTGTGTTGTCCAAGAGTAACATTGATTGCCAAGGACTTTTTTGTTAAACATGGATGTTATAGAGGATGTAGCAGGAGAGGTCAGTTTTGGTTAATTCCCGTTAACTTCAGTGCTCTTGTTTTGTATGCTATGACTCCTGTTTTCATCAAGTCCAATGCTGCATGTAATGATTTGCGTCAGCTGTGATTTACATGTATAGTTGGTGTTCCAAACCCAAAGCTGCTTTTCAGGAAGTCTGAATTGCCAGTGGGGTGGTGTTAAATCTCTAACTATAAACTGCCAGTGTCCAAAACCCTGCTACGAGTCCTAGTCCCAATAGACTTTCCTTAAACATAGCAATTAGTAGTTTTGTTCCAAAAGGTGCAGTTTTACAAGCTTTCCAAAAACTTAGTGGTTTTTTTTTTTTCCTTTTATACATTAATATGATGTAGACCTACCTTTCTGCTGAAAAAACTAGAAGTTTCAGTGACGGGTGTTTTACTCACACCTTCATTGTACTCAGATTAGAAATCAAATTTCTAATTTTTATCTGCGCAAGCACTGAACTGTTAGTTATAACTCAGGTCCTGTTTTTTCCCCCTGTTGAGTGTTAGAATACTTCAACTTGAATAATTATTATGAAATTACTTCATTCCTTATATAAATCCCAATATATTGTTTACAATTTTTCCTTTCCTTACACTTGATAAGCTCACTGATTGCAGCGAAGTAGGTTCATGCTTTTGTAATGTGAGCAGTTTTATTTTTGTGTGCAGAAACACTTCATGGAAGCTGATGCATAATTAATGTACTTTTATATATTTTTATTTGGTTGTTCTTTAACGTTGGATGAAGTTGAAAACTAGATTTGTGATCAAAAATTATCGGTGGGGTTGTTCATGGTATGCACATCTCAGAAGACTAAGATTTGCTCATTGTCCTATGTCCTAATAATCTACAAATTAAACTGCTTTGATACTGTGATACAGCTTGTGAATTCTGAAGTGTGGTAAGTATTCAGATACACAATTTGACAATCTGCTGTAAGAGTTTGTATGCTGAAGTGAAGCAAGGTTTTGTTGAACACTTCAGAGGGGTGTTTGTAACCCTCGGCGTTGTCCCACTTGGGTCTAATCTCTGATGCTGTTTGAAGTTGGATCTGTACAAGCAGGCCCTGCATTTCAGTCTTAAATTAAAAAAAAAAAAATCCAGCTTAATAAGACATCGGTTACTCTTGATATTTGAGACTGGGGATTGCTGGACAGGTGAGTTTGAGTTTTAAAGAGAAAATGAGTCCATTTAGTATTTGATCTAGCTTTAGATTTCATTGTTAAGAATTAGAGGGGTTTTCTTGCTTATCAAAATGAATTTTATCAATGACACTGGAAATGATTATTTTAATATTTCTTGTCAGGGCAATATAGTAATGACTGTGTACTGCCTCAGGATGCCTTTTTAATGATTTTAGCCGCCTTGAATTAGCTTGATGTACCATTAATGCATAAGGATTGCTTTTATTTTTGTTCATGATGTATTCATAATTGCACGTTTCTCCCTAGTTTGTGTTCAAATTTTTGACCCATTTAACTGTGTGCTATGCAACTCTTAAATCACAAAGGAAAAAGAAATGTTCAAATATTTATAAAAACCTTTAACCATCAGTGCAACTTGTATCGTTGGGTATGAGAAAACGGGTTTGAATCTGATTTCAACTCAGTGTTGAGTCTGGTTCTTAATTGAAGGGGATGGTTCTGAAGCCACTCTTTAAGGGCTTGAGGTCTGACCCACTTGCATAGGTTGTAGCAATGTATTTTGTGGGGAAAAAACAGAATTTTGTGTCTGTGTTACTTATGAGTCTTGCTGGGAAGGGATTTTGTGATGTTGGTGTTTAGAGTCTCATTGTTAAGGTGTTGTCAGATGGATTAGATCCTGTGAAGGAAGATTTGATGGAAGTTTTTTGATGCAATGTGTCTGTCTCAGATACCGAGGATGCCATTGCTGCTGTCATGTCTTAATGAAAAATGAATTTGTTTGGGATGGGATTTGTTTTTTGGTATTTGGCATGTG